CACTCCACCCCAAGGGCCCAATGGTTCAAGAACAGCTCAAAGGGCTTCAATCCTGGGCTGCTCCTGCTTTTTCCTGCCCGCACGTTGCCGGAGAACGTCCTCCTGCCCGCGCAGGCTCCTCCTGGGCATCTCCTTCGGCGCCCTCACGGCAGACCTGGTCTCCGCGAGTCCTTCCTCCGAGCGTCGGGGAGCTGAGTGCAGCTGGTGGGCGTCGCTGTGCGGCGGTGTGGCGCAGCTGACTTCACAGGTGTACCACCTGCCACCTTAAAAAATCCATCAGAGCCCCTTGTAGAGTCGGGTGCTGGTGAGGAGAGCTGACAGAATCTAGACGGTGAAACAAAGCAGATCGGAGGCCTTTTGGGAGGTGTGAAGTGGTGCCGAGAAACGGTTCTGGATGGAACTCCCCAATCCAAACGCCACTGCCTTCTTCTGTAAAGAATCTCAAGCTAGCGCCAGTGGTAGTGCTATATTGGGTTCCAACCATTTCTTTCTGGTAGCGGGTTTCCAGGTGTGGCGTTGGCAGAAAATTGTTTCAAACGTTCGGTGTTCATCCGAGCCCGTGGATCAAGCCACGGCTTGATCCAGAATTGATAAATTAAAGTGCATTGCGTTCTATTCTGGATCAAGTGGTTCAAAGCCTTCGGACAATCTGAGCCAACTCCCAAGACTCTCGAATCAGGTCCCTCTGTCTATACTGATCTCCAAATAGATACGATTGCACGGTGTCCGATTTTCTACGTGGGGATCTAAAAAACTTGTATCTATTCCCTGGGGGTCAAAGACTATAAAAAGAATGGTCTGATGAACAGTGTTCAGGAATATCAGGAATATCCTTCACTTCAGTCAGTCGAAAGACAGCCATGAGAGGTTGAGAGACCAGAACTGGGACCCTGGTCTGTGGTACATATGGGATGGGCGACCGGATGGGCTGTTCAACCTCTCTTAGGATATTTGGGGGGTCCGAAAACCAACCATCCCCCGAACCCACGCCCGGGAGCGCCATGGCGCGCAGGCGTCTTCGTGTGGCGGCATCGCTGCCCGTCCCGTGTGGTGCTAAGCCAACGATCGGTTTGAAGGGTCGCCAATGATGATAGCTGGGTCTTCCAACTATGCAACATGCCTGAGAAGACCAACCCCAAGGATCCCAAAGACAGACATGTGACATATTGGAAGATCCACCCAGACGCTCCGTGAACGACGCCCGACCGGTCCCTCACAACCCAGAGAATGCTTCGACCCCAGAACTCCTCCGGATTCGGGTCCGACCCCTCCATAGGTTCGGGGCCGAACAGGTCGAGTCTGGGCAGGTTAAAAAAGCACTTGGTGAACTGAAGGGAACGATCCGTATCGATTATCGATCCCTTGCACTGGGAGTAGCTGCTTGCTGTGGAACAGGTTTTCCTTGTGGGACGATGCAGCTGGCCGAGTCGCCTGAACACCGGACGATCCACCGGTCGATGGCCCCCCGCCTTCGATGTTGAGCTCCGACATGCTCCGACATGCCCTGGAGTCTGGACATATGCTGCACCTCTTCCTTTCTGCCCATGGTCTTCCTAATTGGAGGCCATCGCTACTAGCAGGTTGAGGCCATCCCTAGTGGCTTGGAGGCCATCGCTAGTAGCTTGCAGGCCATCGCTAGTAGCTTGGAGGCCATCGCTTGGAGGCCATCGCTAGTAGCTTGGAGGCCATCGCTAGTAGCTTGGAGGCCAT